ATAAATTTATTTATTATATAATTTCTATAAATTAAAAAAATTATTACCTATTTTTGCTCTAACATTTTTTGCTTTATGCACAAATTTTATGACCGATTTTTTGAGCACCAAGTGTTTTATTACTATTTAAATCTCCATCAATACCGACATCTAAAACAATTTCTGAAGTTTCGAGTACTGGTGATATTTGTTTAATAATATTAATTAATATTGAATGTTCCATAGTACTAGAACTACCATTATGGTTGCCTTCATTAATCGTAACTACTTGTCCATCAGTTTTTTGATATTTTCTAGATTTTTCTGCAACATGAAAACCAATAATAGGTTTATGATCATTTTCTAATAGTAAGTAAAAATTATTTTAGTTATTTATTTTAATTTACTATATATTTTATACTTAATTACCATTTAAAAATCCGTTATATATAAATTCACCACTAGCTGCTGGTGCCTCACGAACATGACTCCATTGGCAGTCAAAACTAACTTCTAAATTAAATTGTTTGTTTTCAATTAATTTATCAAGAACTTTATGTAATGCTTTTTGAGCTGAATTAACTGCTTCATTTTTTAAGCCATCAAAAAGTTTATCTTGCTTAGCAAAGTATTGTAATTTACCACTTTGTCATGTGATTCCAACTAATGCAAGCATAGATTGCCATTTTTCACGATTTACACCACCAACTAATCCTGCTGCAGCTATACTTGTTGAAAAATCTATTTCAGGTGATTCATTACTGTGTTCTGTTATTGCTTTACAATTTAGACATTTAATTATAATTTTAATTCCTAATCCATTTACTGTTATCGATGGCTTTTTATTGGTAATTTCAGCAGTATAACAAATAGGACATGGTTGGTTTAGTATTAATGTTAAATATATGTCTGTATTTACGAATATTGTTGATCCTAATTTTCCATTTTTAATTAAGTTGTTAACCATTGATTGAATTGTATTAGTAGAAGAAAGATTAGAATTTTCATTATTTTCATCGCTGATAGTTCCTTCACTATAAAATTATTGAGTTTTTATATGTAGTATTCAATATACTTTATATATAATAATTATATAATTTACCTTTCAGAATCCAAATTAGAACATAACTCTGCATTTAGTTTCTGAATAGTTTCTAATGATCGATGTAATTTTTTTTTAGTATTTTTTAATTCATTGCGTACTTCTTGAAGTTGAATTCCTAATGCTTGAGTAACTGAACTAGAAGTATTCCAGCCTTCAGCTTTTATTGGAAGCCCAGCTTGGATGTCTTCACTACTTTCTAGTTTACGTGCCTTATGTTTAGCTGAATTAATCATTGTAATATATTTTTTTTTTGCGTTAAATAATTTTTTAGCATGTTCAAATAAGTTTGAATATGTATTATTAATATATCCCCGCAGCCATTCTACATTTTCTTTACAATTAAATCCAAGAACACATGTCATTAATAATGCACCTTTATATTTAATTGGAGCTGATTGTAAATGAATTCGCAAACTGTTTAAATTATCTGGTAAAGATTGAGATTTTTGTTCGGTTATAAATTTTCAATCATCCCTATAATCTATCCATTTATAAAAAATCATTTGTTGAACTTCGTTCCATTCAAGACTAATTTTTAAATAAACACCATAATATGTATATATTGTATAACCGAGAATTAAAGGTACATAAACTTTTTCATTTATATCAGGTTCGATACCATTAACTGTTAATAAACTCGATTGTTTATTTGTTTTATCATAGTTATTAGGAAGTCTTGCATGTTGTGGCAATAATTGAAGATACTGTAATTGTTCACTAACAAACAAATTTTTTGTTTGTCGCTTATATTTTATTCGATTACTGTTAAGCTCTAAAAGTCTTTGAATCCATTCGCAATTACCCTAATAATCAGATATTAAATGAACAACTGATTCTATTTTTAAATACTAATAATATATAATACAATAATTTTTAAAATAAATTACAAAATTTTCTGAATAAATTTATTAATTTTTTATTCATACCATATTAAACACATATAGTATTTTATAAAAAATCGGTTAAAACTGTTGATTTGAACGATACTACAAAATTAAACAATAATTAGCATCAGGTATTGAGAATTAGCAAGTTATTCGTATACTAATATATAAGCAAACTTGTAAAAGGTACTAACTAACTGACACTAAAATAGCTTTAAAATGTAGAGTAAGTTATTTAATATAACATGTACATTTTCTTACATATTTTTAGTTGGTTTTCTTATTACAAAGTAAAAATTTAATGATTTTAACGAATATTGGACCGTGATCGACATTATTATATATATTGTATAACCTACCAAAAAAAGACCCTACCCTTAAGATTTTTAAAAATTTTATTATTACTCTTTTAATAACAATATAATATTCTCTTAACTCAACTAACTATAACTATAGTACTAATTATTTTTATTAATATTCTAAATTTTGGTTTCTATACTTCTTAATAATCAAATTATTATTGGCAAAGCTTAGCACTAGTTAACAAATTTTAAATATATATTAGTTATTTATTGGCAATATAATTTTATAACTAATTGCTTATTACTCTATATTTATTTAATATAACTACACAATTTTGCTTTAATTGTTCTCTTAACTTTAAACTAATTAACAACAAATATACTATTTTTATTCTAACTAGCAATACTATCAAATTTCATAGCAAACTAAATTCTAACAAATTTATTAACTTTAATACAAAATTTTTTGATCTTATGTATTTTATTCAAACCAAAACTTTTAATAATATTTCTACACTCCTAAATTTTAACATTTTAGTTTTACAATTTTATTTATTTTTCTTGCTAGCCCTGCTTTTAATATGCTTTAAGCTCATGCAAACTACAACTATAATTTAACTAATCTTATAATTTATACTGATTAATTAGTAGTTAATACTCAACAACCTAATATACTATAAGTATTGGCTAGCTACAAGTAGAAACCAATAATATTTTTTATATCTTTCAAGCCTAAATTTTATATTAATATATTTTTTTAAAACTAAGCTTCTTGCTAGAAATTGTAATATTAAAATCTTTACTAACTTCTAGTCTGTGATCTCTTATATTGTATATAAGCAATCTCAATATTCTAAATACTTTTTATATCTATGTGAGC